TGGTGTGAAGGATAAATTCCGCAATCTGGAGATCGAATACAATTCAACCATTCGCAAGATTGATGAAAAGGGTGAGCAGTCATAAGAGGGTCGTGTTTCAGAAGCAGATGCAGATCTAGATTCAGAAGGAATGCACAATTTGGTGAAACTTCTCAGCGAAATAGTTGATCAAGTCAAATCTAGAATGCATTTGATAGAATTTAGTGGGTGTGATCAGTATTGTTGATCGCTTGATCAGTACAACTTCCGCTTGACCAGTAAAACACCTAATACATTTCCAATCGGAATGCAACAAATTTTACTGTCATGGAAAGTAATTTTGGGAAGTAATACTGCCACTAAAGGGATTGATAACCACGGTAAAACACTGCAAATGAGACTAATGGCTACCTTAGGGCCCAAACAAACCCAAAAAAATGGTCAGTCCTTTACATACGACTGGAACCATGGGTAACGCGAAAATGTTTATGTTTCTGTAGGATACTCACTTAACGTTTGGATGGATTTTCAGATCAAGCGCTCAGGAATCTCGAGAACCTGAAGGGAGATTTGCTCAAGGACTTGGAGAATCAACGGGCTCGTTTCGATGCTGTCACAAGCGAGTTGGACAACTTGCAGTCCAACTTCAGTACAACCACCAAGAATACGGTGGCCATCGAGATGACCGTTAAGGAGATCAAGCAACAACGTGACGATATCACAAGGCAGAAGGATGACTTAGCCAAGCAGTTGGCCGACGTTCTACACAAAATGGACGTGGAGATTAAGAAGCGTGAGGAAATCGAGAAAGCTAGTCTCAGTACGTTGATTAGCTCAATTCTCACGCTTACGCTCAGATCCCATTCCCTAAAAACTATATTTGACGGGAAGGATTGGTCTTACAAAGTAGGCATCAAATATAGATTATTTAGAATGCTAGTCAGGATGTAACGATCAGCAAAATCTGTTGCTGCATATGACTTGAGAAGGTGATGTTCTGATTTCTGCTTGAAATTCAGATATTGTGAGGAATTCACAAACGTTTTTCGAAGTCAATACCCTTCCACAAGCTTGAATTGAGCTGGAATGCCACAGCTTTCTGGACATCTTAATAGCTCAATCTGGCTTCTAGATCTGAGGAACTGTCAGTTAAAAAAACCGTCAGTTTCGTAGAATCCGACAAGAGCAAGGAATGTCTTTTCAGGACAAGCCGATGAGATCGAGAAGCTCAAGACAAAGTTGACTGATTATGAGAATCAAGTGATGGGATTGAGACGTCACAATGACGAATTGGACACTCAACTGAAGACAAGTCAAGCCAAGATCACCACGTTGGAGAACTCGATCGCGTCGGCTCAGAAGGAAATCGCTAAACTAACCGAGCTGAACTCGAGATTACAGAAAGAAAAGAATGACATAATGAGGTGCGCACAAACTCATTTGCTAACTCAAACTGCTTTCACGGAATTCTATCCGAACGACTGATACCATAGAAATACTGGAACGGAAAGGGGAACAGTTGATTTTTAATGCGTCGCCGCAAAAAATTCCGTCGAATGCCTATTCCAGACCCAAATTGAGTTCAATCGAGTGCGATGATTAGATTATGACATTACTCACAACACATTTATCTCAACTTAAGAGATTCCTCTGACCACAGCAAATTCCTCATCACGTTTCCTACGGCGTACATCAGCGATCTAAATTACAAGCTACAATGGCAAAACCCCAATGAAGCCTTAGAACAATCATATGAAGCTTTTAAACCGAATCCGTGGCTTGAGCGGTTCAATTAAACGGCTTTGAGCAGGCTTCATGCCACAAGCTAGGACAACTTACTTACAAAATTTGATTAGCCGAATGTCTGCGATTAGTCAAAATGTCATTTTTAGTGCCAAGCAAAAGGC